TATATTAGATTTTTTTCTTATGCTGTTATTTTTCTCAGTGTTCTAAGTTTTTCGATGCATTTTCAGAAACATCTCTCTCAAAACTCAAACAAGAAAACATTATTTGATGTAACCATCAATTGTCGCCAGAGATATAAATAAAGTAAACAATGGAACTGAATCTTGATCATCAAACCGCTTTGATATGTGTGAGAAAGGCATTCATCTAAATGATGGAGACGATAGTAGGGAAGATTTAAAAAAAAACTTAAAGTCGAAAGAAAATTGAACAATTTTAAAAAAATTATTCAATCTGCGTACACCAAAACTTAAACTTATATGAAAAGAGCAGCTCGGTCCATCGGGCTGCAATTAATTAATTAATCAAGTGGTTTTTTAAAGTACCTTAGAAATAATATTAATATATTTTTTCTCTGTATAAAATGTTTCTACCATACCTTTCACGTGATACCGTGAGCAACTTCTAATCTAATACAGACCTGAGGCTACTATTGTGTATCATATAGACTTTCTGATATCTTGAAAAGTAAACAAAGGCTAAATCCCAGTCCTGATAATAAAGATAGGGCACGGCGAGTTCATAAAAATAATTTTGAAAGTCAAACATAAAAGATTAATGAAAACAATGCTCATCAAAACTAAACGAAATTTATTTAGTGATTTTTTAAGCCCCCGTATACGAAGTTTCGGGGATATATAGTTTTTGTCGTGTCCGTCTGTCTCTCTGTCTGTGTATATCTCTGTTTATACTTACCTATAGCTTTTGATTTAGTGGAGCTATGGCATTCATATTTCACATGTGTATTTCTTGTGACAAGACCTTTCTTTTGGAACCACCAAATTTGACCTTTCACTTTGGATTTTGACCCACTTTTGCACAAAAACTTTGAACTTTTACTTTAGCCATATCTTTTGAACAGTAGAGACCAAGGCATTTATACTTATCGTGTGTATTTTTATCTGAAGACTTTTCATCGGATACCAACAACCTTGACCTTTTGACCTTGACAGCTATTTCTGTTCTTATTTTTAAAAAATTAACCTTGGCTGGAACTCATAAAGATACTAAAGAATAGTGCTTAGATACACACTTAAGTATAAATAAATTCTTAGCTAAGAAAAAAATCTGAAGTCAAATTCATAAAAATTCTACGTGTAATTTTTAGCAAAGTTTAATTCTGAGAAAGTTAAAGCACTTAAGTGAAGTCACCATAGCAACTCATGGAAATTCCCGAACAAAAGTGCACTCTTTTGTGATGGAGGTATTTACTTCTATGTGTATTACATCATAACTGAAATGTACAAGCTTGTCATCAATATTGCAAATTTACATCTTAACCGTTGATATATATATCCAAGTCAAAAAAAGTTTTTATTTAGATGTTATATCATGAATTCATAATTAAAAAATTGAAATGTCTTCTGTTCACTATTGTTTTTACACAGATAAAGAAAACTTAAAAAATTCTTATCTACTTAAAACACCTCCTGGGGATACTTAACTTTAAGTCAATACTTAAGTACTAAGTATGTTTATGAATTACACTTAAATATTTCTACTAAATTTAAGTAAAACTTTAGGAAATTAAGTAAAATTACATAGCTTTAGTGAATTTTTAAACTTAAAAATATACTTAGAAGTTTTATGAATTCCGCCCCTTGGCTATAACTTTTGATCAGAAAGTACTAGGGCTTTCATACTTCAAATATGTATTTCTTGTGAAAATACGCTCTATTGGATACCAAGAACCTTGACCCTTTGACCTTGGTCTTTGAGTTTGACTTAAAATGCGACCTTGACCATTGTTTTTGAAGGGTTAGTACAAGGGCTTTCATACTTCATATATTAAATCCCTGTGACAAGACCTCTCAATTGATACCAAGTACCTTGACCTTTTGACTTTGGAGTTAGAACCACTTTTACACAAAAATTGCAAACTTTTACTTTGGCCCTGATTTTTAAATGGTAGATACTAGGAATCCCGTTTTTCAAATATCACTTTTTTTTTTGGCAAGACCTATCATTTGAAACCAAGAATTCAGACGTTGACCTTGGAAATTTCCGTACTTACGAAAAAAACTAACCTTGGTCATGACTTCTGAACGGTAAGGGCTAGGGGTTTCATTCTTGACATATGTAATCCTTGTGAGAAGACCTTTCATTGGATATCAACAACTTTGACCCTTTGACCTTGACCTTGCAATGTGACTACGTTTTACAAACTTTAACCTTGGCCATAACTTTTGAACAGCAAGGGCAAGCGCTCTCATACTTAAATTATGTAATCTTTGAGACAAGGCCTTTTAAAGAAAAACAACAACATCCTTGACCCTTTGACATTTACCCAGAGTTTGTCCCTCCTTTGAAAATGCAAGCCTTGGTCATAACCCTTGAACAGGTGGTGCTAGGGTTTTTTATTTCACATATGTATTTCTTCTGAAAAGGCCTTACTTAAAGTACCAATATATTTGATCAGCATTTGAGAAAGCTTAACCTTCGCTATGTTACCTTGTTTTTAGTTTGCTTGTGCGCAAAAGCCTACAAGATTAAATTCATATCACGTAGCTTAATTGTTTAGATATGTGGAAAGTTAAAGAAGAGTCTAACATTATATTATGCAGTATCATACATTGTTTACTTTCTGTGATGATCATGTATTAACCCCTTCCACATCGTGTTGAATTTTAATGCATATATCTTTTGCATATGTTTCACACAAAATCATGCATATTTGTTTTCCCGCAATCAAGCATTGATTACTAACTTTGTATTGGCCTATTTATGCCATATAATATCTAAATAAAAACTCCATTTATCCTTACTTATACTAAATGATTGCCTAAAACTTTAATCATGAGGGAGTATATATAATTTTATCAAATGTTCCTCATCATCGATTATCGTTCCTATATTATTGACTTTATGTCATCACGAGATGATCAAATTAAAATAAACTTGCACTGAGATTGCAGGTAAATGTGTCATTTCACGTGAAAAGTAATCATCGCAGATCAATACGTTGTAGAGAGTAAAGTCTAACATTATTTTTAACTATCATTTATTTGAGTGCAGAAAGATCTAAGCATTTTGCGAGCTGAATATTTCCGGTGCATGTGACGTAACTCTATCCTCTGTTGCAAACATTAGTATCCATGGGAAACTTTTAAACAAACCCAGTATCTCGCCTCAATTCCCTGGGATTCTTGCCACTGGTGCAATGTCCTATTTCTATCGTTTAACTTTTTCTCTAATTTTTACCCACTTTCTCAGACTGATTCTTCGCTACAGCTCAGCATTCAACCGATCCTGAAACTCTCAGTGCGTTCTTATATATACCCTTTGACCGAGTCTTTTTCAAGGGAGGGCAGGTTATTCCATTTTACTTACTTACTTTTTGGTCTTCTTTGCGCTTATAGTTACCACTAATTATTGCAGCAGTATTTGTGTACAGGTGATATACACCTGACCTAATCTTTATTTGAATTCTAGTTCATTGATCTAGCTTATATTGTTTAACTTTATAATTTTACACGTAGTAAATAAATTTGTTTCACAATTAAAAATAAAAAGTTGTGTGTTCCGTAAAACTCTTCTTGTATAATATCAAGGAAAGAAAAACCCAATACCCAATGCTTATAAATATTTTCATCAAGTAATCCATGTATAGTTGTCGAAATTTGCATCTTATACCATGAAAAATTTACATAACGACCCCTTGGTCAAGGTCACCGCAGGTTGAATAATAGTCCCCGAGGGTCAATACAGCCCGGTAGCTTAGTACTTTGGTTCAAGTTTTGAAACAACGCATATTGAACTTCTGTGGTAAAGTATAAAATATACAAATCTATTTTTAAAATCCGCCTTATAGTCTTCTTACATAGCTTTAACCCTTTGTATTTGGGTGCGGTCTTTGAAAACCCCTTTTTAAGATAATACCACCCTCATATGATATCATAAGTTTTCGCAAAAACTGTAATTAGTTTAAATTCATACCTATAATAGAAGAATATGCCTTGGAAGAATGCTTTACAAATCAATAGGTGTAATGATAAATATTGTTAAATTAAAGAATTTGAAAAATGCATATTTTCTATGTTTAATCAATTATTGAATCTTTGAAAAATGTTGACAAGGGCAATAACTTCTTCTAAGGTCTCTTCACTCAGGCATTTGCTTTATTGTAAAATAGTTTTCCTGATATTCAAAATTCAAAAGTATCTTTTAAGCAGGAAGTATTTAGGAACACTCAGCATCAGAATTATGCATTTTAACTAGTTTTAACATATTTTTCATAATACTATTTACAAAAATGTGCGATTTTTTTATGTTGACATACACTTCTGTTTATTTATGTCTCGCATCTTAAATTATATGGTGACCTACACATTTTTTGCGATAATTGGAAAGTTTAAAATATATTAAATGAAAATAAATGAAGTTTTTGTACTTTGAACCTATAAAATTGTGAAGGTGGAAAAACCTTAAGCTTTTTGATATTTGATATATTAATATGGATATTTTTCTGGTGAATAACAATTTTTGAAGGTTTTTTGTAGGTTTATTTAAATATTCCTGATATCCAACGTTTTGGTATGAGCGTCACTGAGGAGACGTAGTTAGTTGAAAGGCGCAATTGGTATATCAAAACTTGTACTGTATATGATTTACATTACAGGTGATAGTTCATATTTAATTAGCTGATATTCTTTACTGTCAATATAATGTAAAGATAGTAGAAAGAAAGCTTAAACTGCATTCCTAGTGAGCTATCTCGTGTTGTAGAGTTACACTTAATTTTAAGCAAATTTAGCTACCGCTTCACTTTACGATATCGATACATATAAATTGACTCAAAACCCCAAACGTACGTCAGTAAATTTTCCCTTGTATACCAAAAGGCATCAATTCATCGTCATATACTATATAAAAAAGAACCTTGTGCATTTTGGATACTGAATGAATCGACCCATGGTATTTATTCATGACAATTTTAATATACAAAAATAATACAATGGGCTTGAACAAAAATGCATATTACATTTACACAAAATGCAAAAATGGTATGTTTTCTCTCCTTATCAGGTATTCTTGGTAGGTCCTTGGAATGAATAATTCTCATGTGGTCCTTTTATATTTCTTCCTTTTAGCTGAAGAGCCCTGGTTCTGTTTAACTGATGTATTGTCGCAGTTTCCAAAGGTTACCATTCCTGAGGTTGTTGTGATGTTTTTTACATTTATGCTAACTACAGTTTTCTCTAAAAAAAAAAAATAAATAAATAAACAAATAAGTATTCAAACATAAAGAACACAAATAAAAACGCAGAGTGTACAAAGAGAACGTCCTCCATTTGATAACAAGAGGCCCATGGGCCACATCGCTCACCTGAGTAACTTGGGTGATGCAGATCTTTACCAGATTCCCCCTCTTGCTATACCAATCATGCCCAACAACCCCCTTCCCTTTTTTATTTAAAAACTTTAGAATCTACACTACCCAAGGATGCTTCCACATAAGTTTCAGCTTTCCTGGCCCAGTGGTTCTTGAGAAGAAGATTTTTAAAGATTTGTTCTATATATTTCTATGTAAATCTTGGATTCCCTATTGTGGCCCTGCCCTACCCCCGGGGGTCATGATTTTAACAATTTAATATCTACACTACCCAAGGATGCTTCCACATAAGTTTCAGCTTTCCTGGCCCAGTGGTTCTTGAGAAGAAGATTTTTAAAGATTTGTTCTATATATTTCTATGTAAAACTTGGATTCCCTATTGTGGCCCCGCCCTACTCCCGGGGGTCATGATTTTAACAATTTAATAACTACACTACCCAAGGATGCTTCCACATAAGTTTCAGCTTTCCTGGCCCAGTGGTTCTTCAGAAGAAGATTTTTAAAGATTTGTTCTATATATTTCTATGTAAAAATTGGATTCCCTATTGTGGCCCCGCCCTACTCCCGGGGGTCATGATTTTAACAATTTAATAACTACACTACCCAAGGATGCTTCCACATAAGTTTCAGCTTTCCTGGCCCAGTGGTTCTTGAAAAGAAGATTTTTAAAGATTTGTTCTATATATTTCTATGTAACACTTGGATCCCCTATTGTGGCCCTGCCCTACCCCCGGGGGTGATGATTTTAACAATTTAATATCTACACTACCCAAGGTCATGCTTCCACATAAGTTTCAGCTTTCCTGGCCCAGTGGTTCTTGAGAAGAAGATTTTTAAAGATTTGTTCTATATATTTCTATGTAAAAATTGGATTCCCTATTGTGGCCCCGCCCTACTCCCGGGGGTCATGATTTTAACAATTTAATAACTACACTACCTAAGGATGCTTCCACATAAGTTTCAGCTTTCCTGGCCCAGTGGTTCTTGAAAAGAAGATTTTTAAAGATTTGTTC